ATAAATAAATTTAAAAATAAAAAGTTACACTTGTATGTTAACTCGGTATGTTAAAAGGTACTTAACATACTTTAAAAAATTAATGTTGAAATTAAAAGTTCAGAGCATTTTGTGGATCCAATAGCAGGATTAAGCAGTCTAATTTAGACATCTAGTCGCCTTGTTATTATTGTTGTAGCTTGCAGAGATCTCTGTAGCAGGAGACATGAAAGGAATTACAAAATACAAATACTATGGTACGGTAAAGCAATGGCGGAGTTAGACTAACTCTGCACGTCGGCGACATCAGAATTGCGTGGCCCCCATTACAACCCAGTTGTAAAAGTAAATAAGTTACATTCACTAATACGATAAAGCATGATTGAAAATTTTATTGCTAATCAAATTAAAATAAACACAAATTAAAATAAATGAATTTTCCTACTTTTAGCCTCACTCAATTTTTTTTTAAATTATATCATAATTTGCGCCAGCTGCTATTTTGGCTTCAGTTTATAGAGTTTCCAATGGAGATAGTCTCTCTTGGATCATCATACTTTTCTAGTACGTCTTAATCCATTTTAACTTTGAGAAGCTTCTTTCCGTCGAAGCTATACTGACTGGAACTGTGAACATGAATCTGATTACTATATAAACATTCGGGAATACTTCGAATATAGTTAATGCCATTATCAAACCAAATTGTTCAAAATATTTATTAAGTGTTTACTATCCACAGTCGGTAACTTTTTGCGAGGCCGTAGGCGGTCGCCGACATCGCTGACGCCTAGCGACACCACTGCGGTAAAGAATAGGAAGGGTATAAGTCAGAAGAAGAGATGTTGTTTGGGATACAAAATGGATGAGGGATGTGTTGGATTTAATTCAAACTAGCTCTGTAGAGACAGAGGAATCTTTAATCTTCAATGGATCGGTAGGGCTCAGATTGGTGTATACATTGGGACATAAAAACAGATGTACGACACCTATTGGTTATTGATGTATCTAAGTGTAAAAAGTAACTGTTTAGCACAGGGCTATTGAAAGCACGGCGCACGGTCCGTATGCGGTCCGCGAATAATACATATGCAGCCCGTGCCACGTTTCTGAAAAATAAAAAAAATTACGCAAATTTTCCCTTAATATATTTTGGTGAAATTACATTATTTTATTTTTATGGTATCCCAAAATTATTACAGTATTTGTATTTTTCTCCAAGACAATCATTGACGTATGTACTTCTTTCTGCGGCCTTCCAATTTGGTTTAGTTCATAGTTATATCTTGACCAGAATTTAATCAGGACAGTTTTTACTGAACAAGGAAGGCGTCATTCTTAGTAATTTCAGGTGCAAGCGTTTTAAGAGATTTGTTGCTGTACAACCGTGGTTTCGAAGAGAATGATACATTTTTCCGGACTGCTGTTAACCTATATTTATATTTTATCTTACTGATGCTGGCTTCATTACTCATTTGGTTCATACTGCAACAGTACAGGTGGCAGTTCTTTTGCTTTGCATTTATCAATACTTACACTTTGCGCTCATAAGGTCGACTTTGGTAAAAAGTATTAAAGGTTTAAAATGTGCTCTCACAAAGATATTTCAAGTGCTTTTTTTAAAATCCTTGTTGACAGGAGCAATGTGAATGCAATATCTGGTTTAGAACCAGTGCCAACTTTAACTACTGGAGAAAAGTAGAGAAATTGGCTTAAAGGTTCATCTATCATCGGTTTGCCTGTCTTCAACCGTGAGGTTGTACAAGTTTTTCATTTATAAAAGATAATGATAAGAGTTGATGGAAGTGCTTACAATGTCAGTCAGTATTAGAGGCTAATATTTCCGAGATGCTTGAGAATGAGCTTTGAAATGCAATCGGCCTTTAAAGTTTAGAAAGCCTTGACTTGTTTGATCATTGTCATTTATTACGATGATGATCATACATCATTTTACTAATATCTCTATTCATGGTAGCTATGCGAGGATTGGAAACAAGGATTCTATAGAATAAATAATGACTGTAATAGAAGTCTTATGTGCGTAACTAAGGAAGTTACACACATGGAAATATGTGTATCTAGGTACGGAGGATAACATAACGTGTAAAAGCTAAGCTGGTTCAAGTGCCGGATTAGCTAAAATCTGTATCAAACTAGATATAGATCATAACAGCAATTATAGTTGGGTTGGGTTATATTCCAGTCATTAGAAGCAATATGGCCAAAGCCTATTTCTTGGAGAGAAAAACAAATATATATGAACAATTGTCGAAAAAATAACTACTGCTGAGCGATGTTTGGGTGTCAGATTTGACGAGTGACTCCGGAATGTAATCTCGGTCGCTCCCATTTCAATATCGATCAATTTTATAATTTTATTCGTATTTTCACCTATTCGTTCACATCAAGAATTAACCTCTTCTTCTGAGATTAATAAATAAAATTGCTGGCATCACTAAACAAGTGCATTATCTTATTTAAAGTAGTTATATAATATAAATAGACACATGATATGAAAACACAACTGGAAAATACAATATAAAAAAGATTTCACAACAGATCGTTCGTTTATTGGGCCGATAACTGAAATCTTTTTATGCAATTCTCAAAAATAATAAATGAAACATGTTTACTATCTACACATTACTTCCTTTTCTTATTGTCATTATTCATTAAAAAAAAGTAGAAAATAAACAAGCTTGAATATAGAAATTTTCTGATCCGTATTAAATACCGTATTAAACAAAGGAGATTTATTATATACCGTTGTGATGATCTCATCAAATCTTATGTTAACTGTTTGACAACAGAAATTTAAGATATATATATTCTTTTACGGATGACTGGATGGTATAAACTATATTAAAATTAAATACTTTTATATATACTTTTATATAATACGGTATACTGTACCGCGTGTATCATACAAATTATTTTAACTTAAATTAGTAAAAAAAATTTAAGTTTAAACTTAACTTAGTATTATTTTTGACATTATGAAATTTTTTTATTTGTTGTTTTCCGCTTTGGCTGAGTTCTCATCGCACACATCTTTTTTTTCATCATCGGTGAATAAATCGACTTTCGTTAAAGTTTTCTTGTAATCCGAAAATTTTTGTCGTTTAGGCATTTGAATTTCTTTACCTTCATCTTCCGAATCATTTGATTCCTTTTCTTCATTTTCACTTGCTAAACAATCTTCGCGTCTTTTGCGAACATTAAGCCAAGAAAGTAATGTTTTATTACTAGATGGAGCAGGCAATTTTTGTTTCTGAGCTAAATCAATAGGTTTGTTACATTGATCAGATTTATTTCGCGAGTTATTAACTAAATTGGATACTTGATACCAAATAATTTCCTTAGCTGGTTGAAGTGTGTTCAGCGCCTGCTCATCTGTTACACGCTTGAAATCTAACCAGTCCTAAAATAAAAATATTAATTTATTCTCTCAAACAACTAAATATTTTTATTACATACATTTATTTGCTGTTCATTTTCTAATATAGCGGGCATACGGTGATGCATCCAATTAAATTTACTTGAAGATTCAAAAGTAATTACGCTGTAACTATAAATTTTATCGCCATTATCGTCCTCCCATACATCAAAAAGTCCAGCCATTTTTAGTAGGTTTATATTTTCTATCCAAGTAGTTTTGTCATATATGATAATACCTTCCTTCTGTGGCATGTGAATTAAAAAAGCAGCACGCTCTGAAGGTTTTGTAGTTTTTGTTGTTTGCCATTCGTAGAAACCTTCACACAGAACGACACAACGTTGGCCACGCCGAAAAGGACCTCTATAAAGTTTAGAACTTAACATGTGTTCTAATCTACAATTGTTCGTAGAGAGCCCATGCTTGCGGTAATCACCTTTATGCCAAAAGGGTATCATACCCCACATCATCGGCACAAGGACACGAGACTGATAGTCGCCATTGTTATCTTCTGAGAAGTGATCTGTGGACACAAGTACTGGCGTTATATCTGTCGGCGCTACATTGTATGAAGAAATGAATTTTCTCCCACAATTAAACTCTGGACGCCATTCTGGAGACAGATAACTTGAGTCAGTTTCTTTTATCTGCTTTGTGTTTGCTTCTTGCTCTTTAGTTTTACAGTTAGTTTTATCAACTGACTTCGTTGTTTTGTACTTACACGCACAAATTATTTGATTAGGATCCAAAGTTCTGAAAATGTATTTTAAATAATCAGTTGAAAAATTTCGTTAGAAATTGTTAAAAACACAATTAATAATAATAAACTTCATATTTACAAGCAAGTTCTCCCACACATCTTCACTCCAAATCGAACCAATTGCCGGCAATTATTAAACTGGTACAAACATATCAAAATATACTTCACTAGATGTAGAAGTTTTATATATAAATGTTTATATATAATACATTTTTTTATGTGTAAAAATTGTTGTGAATATAGTAATAAAATAGAATATAGTAATAAAAAAGAAAATAATAAGCTAAAGTCAATTTTCTAATATGACTTATACAAATTTAATATAATTCTAATATCTTCGAATTTATTAACTACAATCTATTGTGATTATGATGCGTTAAAAAATGTTATTGTGAATATATTACACATATGTAGATATTCTATGTTTGACAGTAAACATCATTAGAGTAAAGCATTTCTGTTTACAACATAATGGGTGAAAGATATATTCATAATATTCATAGTCAGTTGGAACATCTACAAAGTAAATATATCGGTACTGGACATGCGGATACAACAAAATATGAGTGGCTAACGAATCAGCATCGAGACTCTTTGGCATCTTATATGGGACACTACGATATGTTAAACTACTATGCGATTGTTGAGAACGAATCCAAGGCTCGAATTCGTTTTAATTTAATGGAACATATGCTTCAACCATGTGGACCCCCGCCAGAAAAACCGGAGGAATAGATAATATATAATTTACCAATGTATGTTAAATCAAATAAAAAAATATTAAACACAAGTAACGCAGGCGTATGTATATACATACGTATTTAAGATTTGACTATAGCCAAATTGTTTTTTTTGTTATAGCTGTCCAAACCAGATGCGATCGCAGGCCAATACAAATCACTGTATAGATTAGGGGGCTGAAGAAACAAATACATTGTTCATAGTTGTTTTTGACAAAAATAAAAATGCAGTTATAATGTGAAATTTAGTTTTATTAATTTATCAATTAATTTATCAATTAAAAATTAATATTAATTTACCAGTACTCCAAAAGGAAGTTTGCTTAATTGTAATAGATTAAAAATATTACGCGGGCCGCACAAACATTGGTCGCGGGCCGTGCTTTGGACAGCCCTGGCTTAGATAATTGTAATGTTCATGTGGATACATGAGAGGCTGAATTTTTTGGTAAATGGACTAGTGTCACTTTCAAGAATTAGTGTTACTTTCAAGTTTATGATTGCTGTTAAAACGTATGATAATTAAAAGCAATATAACGATAGTTTATATAAATGTACTAGCAGTTTAGGATATTAATTAACAGCAAACTGTTTAAAAAAAGATTCCAGTTTACTAATATTGCTTATCCATAAGGTCAAATGGAGAATGGAGAAAAAATAAATTGAATATGTGATGGAAGGGCTACGCATTTTTCATCTTAATGCATAGATATAGTTTTAAAAATGTATGTTAGAAAATTGCACTACACTATGATAAGATATAGCAATCACTTGCAAATGTTTCGACAAACATTTAATACTTTAGTATCGAATAAATCTGAAGATTTTTTATTACTGAGTTTTTTCCATTCTGATTGAAATTTTACAGGAGATTATGTGTTTGATACGAAGATCCATCTGACATGGACGTCTCAGAAATCAAAAAGAGAATTTCTCCTGATTCAAATTAAAACAGCTTTAAGACTGAAAAATAATTTTTGAATATTTAGCAAAAATTTCAAACTTATCCTCATCAGACCTGAACTTTTCACTACTACTATTTTTAATTGCAATACTTCTTAAATTTAGTCATTTTAAGAACTTTGTCGCCTAACATATGTATACTATTTTCTTTGTCTTTAAGAGTACTAAACGATCTCAGATATTTACTAGTTTTTTTTTATACTCATTAATACATTCTTTGACTGGTTTGAATTTTTAATTAAACAGTTAAAACCTAAAACAAGTCCTTTAAACAAATTTAGCTTCGTAGTTTTTCTTTTTATTTTAAGTAATTATCATTTAACATAATTGCAATAAAAAAACTGGCTAATGCCAATGTATTTTTTTTGCCTTCCAAAATTGTTGTTCTATACATCAGCATTCTCGGCATTCTCATAACGTGTCCAATCCATCTCAAGCGAAGCGACTGCGAACTTTACAGCATCTTCACCGTTATAAAGTTGCAGTTTCTCTGTGCGTTCGCGCGCCGACGATGTTGTATACATATATGTATATACATACATACCAGAATCAAATTATATCTTTTCATTAATAGAGCAAGGAAAACATTTTTCTTTTTCGAAATCAATTTAGATATCTACTATTATTTAAAAACACAAGTAATGGTGATTTGCGTTTAATTCATATTACAATTATTTGTAATAATAACTGGGAATAAATTATTAAACTACAGAAAAGTGATTGTACTTCACAGTAAAAAAATGCTAAACGTTGTTATTGTTTCAACTCGCAAGGACGTATATAGCAGGAAACATGAAAAAATACAAAGACGAGTGCATTGGTTAGGATGGAGTGTGAGCTAATAAAAAATGATTTGTATGGGAACTTGTCAGTTTCCACTTGGCCATAAATAAATATGTATAGTTCAAATTTGTTTATGCATGTGAACGGGAAAACAGATGGACGCCAAAGCTAAATATTCTCAGTAAGTCGTTACCAAGTTCTTACATTGAAAACATTATACAGCATTATACAGTATATTACCTAAAAGCCGACAAAGGAAACGCATTAGTCATAATGGACAAAGACGAATACGACCAAAAAGTCCAAGAAAAAATCGACAACGGCCCCTACAGAGAATTCAGGAATAACCCCCTACCGGACATGATTAACAGAACCAACAAACTGATTGAAAAGTGTTCAAAATTTCTAAATTTTGATAGGAAACAAATGAAGGAACCGGCACCCTCACTACCACGATTCAAAGCTTTACCTAAAATTCACAAACCCGGAAAGGAAATGAGGGAAATCATAACAGCAGACAGATCCCCATGCCAACGCATCGCGAAATGGTTAGTGAAAGAACTAACCAACATCCTATGCAGCCCACACAATTTTTCAGTCAAGAACTCCAATGAATTCGCAGAAAAATTAAAACGGGAAAACATTACAGGAGATGAAGAAATGGTGTCATTCGACGTCAAGGCGTTATACCCAAGCGTTAACGTAAAAGAAGCAATAAGGATCCTTGAGGAAGAACTCCTCAAAAAAAAAACAGACAAAGTTAAAACAATGAAATACATCCAACTAGCACAACTCTGCATGGAAGAAAATTACTTTACCTTCAGAGGCAGGTTCTTCAAACAAACAAAAGGGGCTCCAATGTGTAACCCCCTATCATCACTATTAAGCGAATTGTTCATGAGTAGACTGGAATCCAAATTAAAAGAAAACGAAATTCTACCAAGGGTATGGATCAGATACGTAGATGATGTATTCGCGATCGTAAAGAAAAACAGAATACAAGAAACTTTGGAGAATCTCAACAATACACATGGAAACATTGAGTTCACACACGAACGAGAAAACAAGGGATACCTACCATTCTTAGACCTACTGATACAACACAAAAATGGCGCCTTCGAATTCAGTATCTATAGGAAACCAACGAGTACCAAACGTGTCATACCCAACAACTCAAACCATTCGTTCCAACACAAAATGGCAGCCTTCCACCATATGATACACAGAATGCTAACATTACCCCTTACACAAGCAGCTATCAATGAGGAAACCACACACATCAAGGAAATAGCGGACATCAACGGATACTCCCACAACACCATCGACAGAATTATAAAAAAGAAACGCAGGCAACTATATTCCAGAAACATGACGACCTTAACAACAGAGAAGCCAAAACAAAGAAGGGTCGCCGTAGTGTATAACAACACCGTCTCCAAAGGTCTTAAAACCAAATTGAAAAAATTCAATATCGACCTAGTTTACTCCAGTAGACCACACCAACTCGAAAGTTTATTACCATCCACAAAAGACCCAATCGACTCCTTAGAAAAATGCGGGGTATACAAGATCAACTGCGGCTCCTGCAACAAAGTGTACATCGGACAAACAAAAAGACCCTTATCGGTAAGGCTCGAAGAACACCTAAAAGAAGCGAGGGAAGCACTGAAAAAAATAAACCCTCACATAAAATCAAATGTCGCCAGACATATAATAACGGAAAAACACCACATCAACAAAGAGAATGCCCAAATAATTAAAAACGTAAGGGATACCTGGAAATTAGAAACGGCAGAGAGCATCGAAATACACAAACATCAGGCAACACCGTTACTCAACGGCGATAAGGGAAACGTATCATCATGGCTTTTCAAATACATCCCAAAAAACAAATCCAACCAGTTGACCGAACTACCTGTGCATGATTAAGCCTGAACAACAAAAACTAACCCATCCCACCATTTTTTACCTAACACCCTCAAGGACAAAAACAACAATAACCCTACCAATTAGATTTAAATTATAAGACCTGTAATAAGTATAAATAGCTTGTAAGTTGCATAGATGTTTTTAATATTAGGAATCCTCCTGATGAAGGCAAAAGCGAATTTGCCGAAATACGTATAGAATTATACTAAAAAATAACGCACGAAATAAAAGTTAACATTCTTAAAAAACAAAACAGACTTTAATATAAATTTCGACGTAACAACTCAAAAAATTAATAACAAAATTATTATACAGCAATTTCCTTCGAACACTTTAAAGCATATTGGGATTCAGCGCTGTTAGCTAGCAATTTTGCTCGTTTTTAATGCTGTCCTTTATTAAATTGTTCTTGACTTGGGATGCCAATGTTTCTGACACATGCCTTAAGATAAGCATAAAAATGTAATGTATTAAAAAAATGTTTTATTAAAGCTAAAATTTATTTTCTAAAATTACAATTTGTGTAAATACATCCTTAATATTTCGTAGAATGCTTAATATTAGGCGCAATAGAAAATTTGTTGTGCAATTTGATAACTAACACTATATACGAGTTCTATAGTTCATAAATCGTTAGATTCTTTTAACTATAAATAAATGCAAATGCAATATGATAATAACTGTTTAAAATTAGACGAACCCATTAATCCATTTGATACATGTATTTGTTTAAGTGTAATAATAATATGACAAAAAATAAATATAAAATTGTTGCTGAATCAACATTTTATGTGTTTGTTGATGTACAAATTACCTCAATGACAATTGTATACAATTGCCATTGCAGTTTTAGTAATTATTACAAAATAAACAAAAAAATAAAGTACAATAAGCGAAAATAATACATATATTTTTTAAATGATTCTTTCAGAATTTTATAACATATTTTAACCTTGTGCATTTATATATCGTTTCAACAATTTACATCACAAAACTGCTTAATATATAAACATTTTTATATAATTTTAGAACAGAACGTGACAATAAATTGTTTTCCAATATCGGCAATTAAAGTGTTTGAATATACATACACTTTTAACAAAAATATAATTTTTGCACGATTAATGTTTAAATGTATCAAATGTGGATACCAATAATATATAAAAATATTTATAAAAAAATTTTCTTGGGAAATGAATTTATGATTATTGCTCCCCTTAACTTATAAAATGTTGCACAATAAAATTATTCGAATGGGGCATTAAACATATTTATGTTTAAATCCTCAAAAGTAGCGGGGCCACTTTGATCAAGCATTTGTAACATTTCAGAAAACTCTTGACCCTGAGGTTGTCCATGCACGTGTGTAGTATGTGGATGCCCATGTGATGGATGACCACTTGCGTTACCAAGTCCAGCTTGCGGTGTCTGTGCTGCATTTTGCCAATCCCACATTCCGGGTGCATTTGCAGGTGGTTGAGTGGTTCCATGATAATTTGTTTGTCTGGCAGAATTACCAGCGCTAAGTTGTGTATATGTAGGTCCACTAGGCGAACGTGCTGGACTCGTTTGATTATATTGATAACCTTCAGTGACGGGTTGTTGCTGTCGTAAAGATGTCCAAGTAGGTGTTGCTGGTGTAGGTGATGTATTTGCTTTAGGTATTTTAGCTAAATGCGATGTGTTTGGAGATGGTCCACCAGCATTAGTACCATATCCTAATGGTGAATGAGTTGCATCATAATTATATGTAACTGGGTTTTGAGCTGAAGCTGGGCGTTGTATATTATTTGATTGTTGTTGTGTCGCCATCGCTGTTTGTGTTTGTATATGTGCACCTATCATGCCATGTGTATTAAACATATTTGCTTCAGTAGCAGAAACTGCTGGTGTAACATCACGTCTCGTTTGCAACGTATAATCTACACCAGGTGCTACATAAACATGCTCAGACTGGTCTGGAGTATTTGTTTCATGACCAGTGGAATGCATAGTTTTACCTGAACTGTTAGTGCAAACAATATACTCCACTTCGTCGGTATAAGGATTTAAAAAAGCATAAGCTTGTGTGCGTAACCAAATAAATTCACCACTTTTGGCACGTGCGCGATACATCAAGGAAAACATTTGTCCTTTTTGTTTAAGTACTTGATCGAAACTCTCCTTCATGTGACTTTGATCTTCAGGGTGAAAAAAATCATAGCAAATTTTCCCAAGTAAGTCAGTTGGTGTGTAACCCAGAATATTGAGTACACGTTGATCTACAAAAGTGAATTTTCCATCCATTGCATGACGTGTTATAAATTCAGACTGATTGTTAGAGCCTGACATATCAGTGGAAGCTGTAGATGTAACCTGTAGACGGCCAATTGCTACCAGACAGCAATGTGAAGCATGCATATCATCATCAACAGGACGTTCCATATGGACGCCTGGAAACATATCAGTTGGGGGCCAGTTTTTTATATAACCAGTGCAATGTACTACAGCATAATTAGTACCATCACGTGAAGGGCCTAATGAATTGCGTTGCTTAAGACGGTTTAATTGACCGGCCACCATTGATTCAGGATTAACATTGCCAACGCGCATCCGGCATATAAATCCACGGCGTGCTCCCATCGTTAATCGCATTGATGATTGATGACCTTCTTTTTTAACAGTTCCAGTTTTCAAATCTAAAATACGACCTGTGTTTTGATTTTCCTGCGTAGATAATTGTTCGCGAATTTTTTCGCGATCATCTGGATGTATGTGATCGTACATGCTTGTACCATACCAATCGCTTTGAGTGTAATTTAATACTGGAGTTACTGAGTCTGAAACATATATTATACGTCCAGAATCGCACGAAACCACAAAAAGAAATCCATCTGCTGCTTCCAATATTAAATGTTTCAATTCCTGATCGGTAAGAAAAGAAGGTTTGTAAGTTCCATCACTGCTTGTGTTTCCAGTGCCACGTAGGGCTTTCATATGAGCAACCGCCATACGTAATATTGTCAATTTATCAGGCTTCCGTGCTAAAGCACTGCAAGTTGGCACCATATCTGATAACTCAGTAATATAAGCAGTCATTTTATTTCGACGTCGTCGTTCAATTTCGCAATGATTTTCCCTACTAGCGAATCGCTCTTTGTCTTGTATATTTGCTTCATCCATGACTAAAATTTATAATCGCAATTCTTATTTGGGTTGCTTTCGTTTACTTCTACTGCTAAGCGTAAATATTGTTGTTGTTGTTTTCTCTATTGCTCTTTTTTGCTGGTACAAGTTTTCGAGGGTGTTTATGTGGCTACGTAAGAAAATTATAAAATTCAATTTTTAGTATTTTATTTTATGCTCATCTAACATATTTAATACAATTTAACTTACGTTTTATGTAAAGTAATTATAAATTAATAGTATCAACTTAAATTTTCCGAAATTATAGAGTTATTTTTACCACTTTTCTGAAGCAGGTAGCAAGACGTCTTTTTATGTGTTTACTATAGATACGCTACGACTGTACTGTAGTACATTACAGAGTTGTATTACTTTACGTTTGAGAAAATGTTTGACAAACATATATTTAATTACCAGAATATGTTATATGTTATTTTTTTTAATATTAAAGAAAACAACGTTTGTTTAATTCAATATAATAGCGTTTTCGAGCTACAGTTTTAGTGCAATTTTTGTTTTGGATTGGTAAATCTGTATAACTTTCGAAATAAATGTATAACACTTGAAATTAATTTATAACACTCTTGAAATTTTGCCAGAGTAGCAAGATTACCCTGAAATAAACAGCTCTTTTTATATGACGCCTAATAAATTGTGATTCGATTCGATATATGCATTTATGAAAAATATAAGTATCTACTAAGCAATTACTTTAAAAAGATTCTATTAGGCAATAAAATATAACAGTTCTAGAGTAAATGTATGTTCAATCCAGATTTACCAATCGAAAACGCCATAAGTTTATGCTTTGAATTAATGACTGCTAAATTACCAAATTACATTATGTACATTTGTGTACATTTATATAATTTTATTAACTTAATCTATGCAATTTATATACTAGTGATAAATCTTACAAATATATAATGAAAATTTAAATCAGGTTTAGTTTCTAAAAAAATTCTATACTACTCCATTTGTAGTAAAATTACAATTGAATCTTAATTTGTATAAAAACACATAAAACTTGAGATTAAGTAATTCCCTATAATACAAACTAAAAATTGCTGCTTTTGTCTGTATTTTGATTTAGAGATAAAATTATTATTAGCTATGTATATATGACTTTAGCAAAGCGGTTCGAAAGTGTAAAACTACAATTATTTCTGCTTTGTGAATAAGCTAGGACTATACAAACGCAAATAAGAATAAGAATCCATATCAAAATGACAATCAATATAGAAATTAATTAATTAATTTATATGACCAATTCATTAATAATTAATTATTAATTCAGCTTTCAAACTATGTGTTTTGCATTTTGCATTGTGTATATACATATATATACAAGATCTTAAATATGTATATTAATATATAATGGTTGTTTATCTAATGTTAATCGCATTAAATATTTCGCAGTAGCAGTAGCAAGTAATGTTCAATTTTTTTAAAATGTTTGATGAAGCAATTATTTGATGTATACAGTCCCATGCAGCATGTATGCCACTTTTAAAATTATCTCCAATTGAAATCATATGTTTTTGAGATATTTTATAAACCTAAGTGGTTTCATTTTAGTTTCATTAGTGCCAATATTGAACAGTTGGTATAATTTCTGCCAGCAATGTTATCTTGAAATTGTTGATTGAAGCATCATGGATAGGAGAAGTGAACTAGAAAACCTGGTTTCAACCCAGAAAGACACAATTGCTCGTTATGAAAAAAGGTTAAAAGGTAATTAAACTAAATTAGGGAAAATATAATTACAATAATAATTACATGTCTATTTAATGTAAATAGATGTAGTGACAGCATATAAAGGATTGTTAAAGGAGAAAGAAGCGCTTGAAGCAAGCTTAGCTGCCATTACAACTAAATCTAACCAAGATGTGCAACTTCCATTGTCTGTTGAAGCTACTTCTGCTAATGCAAGTCAAGAAAGCTTGTCAAAATCAATCTCTACATCAAAAGAAAAAGAAAATCTTAATTCCTCCGATTTGCAAACGCAGATTATAACACTTATGAATTCCTTAGCCACTTTATCTGCTGAGAAATCTCGTATGGAAGCTTCATTTCAAGGTGATAAAAAGCAATTACGGGGACAATTAATGCAAAAAGATGAGGTTATTGACGAATTAAACTTAAAAATTAAGCACAATGAAAATCAGTCCAACATAGCCTTGGAGGAGGTGAAAGCCAAATGGGTTAAAGAACGTCAAGATCGTGAACGTGAAACTAATAATCAAATGTTAATGATTAGAGAACTGCAAAAATTGTATGGTGACGAAAGACATTTAAAAGAAAATATTGAGATGCAGTTAAATAACTTTAAAACTCAATTTGCTAGTAATGATGCAGGAAATAATCAATGGCGAGACCTACAAGCACAGTTAAAGGAAGCTAAAGCACAGATTAAACAATTACAAGCTTATAACAAGAAGTATGGATTGGACGATGCTATGGACAGTAGTGTCGTATTAAAGCAAGTTCAACTGGTAATATTGAATTAACTATTGTATATGTGGAAAAATAATAAATATTTTTTCTATAGGAAATGCAACAATTAAAGGAACAACATGCAATAGCTATAAAAAATGAACAGAAAAGAGCATTAGTTGCTGAGGAACAAAGCAAAAAACAAGTAGCTTTGCATGAAGTACGCGTAGCTAATCTTGAAGCACGTCTTGCTGAACTAAGCAGCAGTGTTGGCAGTTATGATCGCTTACGCCAACAAGACCAGGAAAACATACACTCCTTAAAAAAAAAATTACAAGAACTAGAAAGATTGAGTGAAAATTATGATTCAGACTCTGTTGTTGCCTTAAAAAAAAGTTCCTCACTGCAAGATACGTCTGGCATTGTTGACGAAATTATACGTCTTAAAAAAATATTGTTAAATGAAAATGTGCACTCAAATAATTCAATTGATTTAAGCAATATATTTGCTGTTAACACGGATCACAGCCAATGCAAAGAAGATTTACACCGCATACATCAACAGTATGACACAGGTGACTTGTTTTTTAAATAATTCATATTCTATTCTAAATTTATTTTGTCAATAACAATTTAATTTAACAATTAAGCTAAGATTGATATATTACGTCTTGAAGAAAAATTGCAAGTACAAAAATCACATATCGCTACATTGCAAGAAAAAGTTAAAGTTCTAAACCGAAATATTGATGAACAGGAAACTGAAATAAAGTTACACAGCGAAAAATTACGTCAGGCAGTAAAGGTGGAACGTCTCAAGGGAAAGGATGCGCTAACAGAATTAGAAAATGAATACCGTTGTAAAGTTAACGATTTGGAACAGCAATTACAAAAGCAACGTGAGCGCTCCCTACAGTTGCTTGATGAAAAAGAGCATGAAATTAAAACATTACAAACTTCGTTTGAAATATTCCAACCTTCAATGCCCACTGTGCAACTAAATAAAGCATGCACAGAAACTAGCGTGGTGTCATCTGATGCTGAAAGCGTTGAGGGACCAACTGCGCTGAAGCCAAAAACGGGTTTAAAGTCAAAGAAACTATCAGTTGGTGAAAATTGTCATATGCTTCATTATGCCAATGAAATAGCACGGAAAGATATTGAAATAACTGGTCTACGTAAGTCAAAGTATGCAGCCGAAACCGCACTACGTAAAGTAATTCATGAAAAAGTAACAGCTCAAGAAGAGTTAAGTGATCAAATTTCTAATCTGGAAGAACAAGTTGATAGGTATAAAACATATTTGGTTCGATTTTGTATGTTGAAATAAAAATTTGTTTTTAGACTGGAGCGCTGTAAAACTCGTGAAGGAGCAAATTTAGAGTATTTAAAAAATGTTATTATTAGTTTTATGGTTTCCAAAGATGCAGATGGAAAACGTCACATGATGAATGCTATAAGCGCAGTACTACAGTTTACACCAACTGAAATACAAACAATTAACTGTGCTCTTTACAAAAAATGAAACTCAATATATTCAAATATAGTTCCAGGATACGGAACTAAGATTAAACACCAGTTATATTTAAAATATCGATCTATAGAATTAATAACCTTATTAAGTAAATTTACTTACTCCAGAAACAATGTAAATATGCAGTTTAACCAAAATATTCTTTCGACCCTATACTTTTAAGCAATTTAATTCATACGATCTTTATATTTTAAACAAAATGTATTTTCGACAATTGCGGAAAAGATAATCGTTATAATAACCTATTTTTAAATATCTTCTTGTTGACCCAATGTTGTTTAAATGTTGTTACTAGGGTCAACATCTTCTATGCATCCATCTTTCCTCCAACCAAATACCTCATCCTTTCACATTAACTTATTTTTCAGATTACATTGGACTAATATAACAATAACACCTTTAACGATATCTAGAGAAATAAATGATTGCTCAAAAAATAGGACAACGAGATTGTTCGAGTTTATTTTCAAAAATATAATTGTAATTTTTTTTAAAATGTATTAAGTCTAAAAACAATTAAATCACAACTCGTTTTATAAGTCCCGTTTAAAATGACATCGAGTTGAAGCCACTGACCTAATAAATATTTTTATTTACATTATGAAAATCTTCAAAAACATTAGAATCTAGACAAATAATTGCGAAAATTTTAGTATTATTAGTATAATTTATTATTTTATATTTGTGTCTGAAAATAGTAAACGGTTATTAAAGCTTAAAGCAGAGATACATATTTCTGTAATAAGCGATATGGGATGAGATTTCTAAAATAGCATAAGTGCTGCGATTTTATGTATCGACAATAAAGTCCTTAATTAATAAATTTTATTAGACCGATTCGAATAGCAAAGAAAGCTTTGAAACAAAAATAGGCAAGCTCAAAAATTAAAACTTTCAATTCGTTGAACTTGTGTTTCCAAATAAAGCTGTAGTTTACAAGCTCGTTCTAATTTAAAGCACGGCAAGTGCTTTGGTTGGTGTCACTAATTAAATAAAAAATAAGTGACAATAAAACCTGGAACTTGAGCATTGAAAGTTTGTGCAGCCTTAGCTTCTTGTGGATAAACACGATTAGTCATCGCTTCTAATTTGACAGGCACGAGTTCTAAGCCTGGCACTTGCAGTAAAAACAAATTATATACGGACTATAAACTAATTAAATAAAATTCGATTATTTCCAAAGACCACTGATGAAGAGTACTTGGCAATACTCGAAACAGCGTTGTATGGTCAGCCAAATTTCAATAAATTACATAAAAAAAATTTTTGTCTTTGCCTTTCTTTGCTATTCGAATCGGTCTAACTTTTAAATAGTTTCTTTCGTCATAAAAAGACACGCCATTATCGGCAAGAAAAAATTTACCCTAATAAATTTTATTTTGTAGCGCCAAG